ATACATATATATATATATATATATATATATATTATATATATATACTATATATATATATATATATATATATATATATATATATTATGTATATATATATATATATATATATATATATATATATATATATATATATATATATATATATAATATATATATATATATATATATATATATATATATATATATGTATATATATATATATATATATATATATATATAATATATATATATATATATATATATATATATATATATATATATATATATATATATATATATATATATATATATAAGCCGACACACACACATATAACGGGTCAGTATTTTTTTTTCTCTAACGAATAAAACATTTATTACAAACTTTAAAAATTTAATATGATATTAACATATGATAATTATAATGAAGCTGTTCACAGACGAAAATAATCATCCAATGAATTTAAATATACAATGAACATTCATACAAATAATTCATCTAGTTACATTCACAATATACTTTTACTCTTTTTGTCTAGCGAATTACATCAAATCTGGAGCAGAAACAACACTATCACCCATTCATTGAAAAAACAAAACTCAGTCATCCACAGCTGGCTGCTAGAAAGCCATATTTTGACATGCAGAAGCCATCATCATGTATTTTGGATTAAACTGAATACACTGAATTGGTCCAGGGTGGTCTGATTGTAAAATAGCCATTTTGACTCCAGACTCTGTACTCCAACAATGAACCTTCCCATCCGTTGATCCAGAGAAAACATATCTAGCATCAGGAGTAAATGAAGCTTCCAGTGGAATCCCTTTGTGATTTGTAAAGCCCATAAATGCCTGAAGTGGGGTGCCTTGAAATGCATCAATAAGACGAATAACATTTCCATTTGTTGAAATTAAAATCATTTTTCCATCAGGGCTAAATTTAAGACCAAACCAATCGCATTCTTTATCTTGTGGAAGCTTAAATGTTGTAAATGGTCCTTTATCAAATGATCTTAAATCGTACAGCTTCACACTCTCAGAGTTAACACCTGCTGCAAAAATAAGCCCTTCAGGATCAAAGGCTGCAACAGGGCGACCGGACAAGTGCATCAATCCCTGGCAGTAGCGTAGCGAGGGGGGGGGGGGACATATGTCCCCGGGCGCCGACCTTAGGGGGGGGCGCCAAATTGAAAGTTTGAGGGGGGGTGCAAATGAAAAGTTCGAGGGGGGGGGGTGCAAATCGAAAATTTGCTCCCGAGGGGGCGCCAAATTGAAAGTATGTCCCCGAGCGCCGGGAAGGGTCGCTACGCCTCTGATCCCTGGCAATTTTGAGACCTTAAATCTCACAGTCTGATTGTTTTATCCATTGAGCCAGATATAAAAGCATCACCTATTGGTGACATGCATAATGTGACAACTTTTTTTGTATGTCCTGGGAAGTAGCGAATATACTTATTGTCGTGCAAGGAAAGATATCTGATAGTATCATCCACTTTAGTTGAACTGTGCAAAGCTGTATTCTGTGCATGTGTATAACGAATTAACTCCACTCCATTTTTTTTACTGTTAAGTGTTCTTTTAGGCGTTCCATTCAGGCAATCGTAAACAACAATAGAATCATAATCACTACTTGTAATCAACGTTTCACCATTCGCAGAAAAATTCAAACTACTTATTCTATCAGTATTTTCTCTAAATATTTTTGCAACGCGCAGACTTCTAACAACGTCGTCTACCAGCTTCATTTTTTTTCCGTTAGGATTCCTTCATTATCCTTTTCCGTACTGTCTAAACACCAAAAACACAAAAACAGTTCATTCTGTTGGTTATTTATTTCATGACAAGTGATCCATGAAAGTACTAAAGTCAGTTATATTATTAATGCTTTTTGTTTATGGCAATATATACATCTGTCTTTAATTTGAATAAATATACATATATATATAAGAAAATTAAATACAGTTATATGCAATTTGTATTTTAATTTTGTACGTAGATATTATTATATTGTGAAATAATATTTATGAAATTATTTTTTTTTGTTCGTTAGATGGATTTTTATTTATTTTAATATATTTTAGAAGATTTTGCGAGTAGTTTCCCTTTTGAAATTGTGTTCATATTGTTTTGAAAAATGGGGATAAATCTAAAAACATATTATTTTTTTGTATTGGTGTAGCAAAGACTATCAGCAACGGGTGAAACTTTCATTCGGCCAGAACCCGCTATAGGGGTGGGGGTGGAGGGGGATAGCCAGGCCGTTTGGGGGAACCAAAATCCGAGAAAAACCACATCATATGTACTATGATGGTGATCGATCTAATGTAACTACCATACAGAGTTGCATAGACAATAAATCTACATAAGCTGTGAAAGTTAGATAAACCTCAAGACACTTCCATGACTTATAGCCCTTCTTAATTTAATCTTAAATTAATCCAATAGGGGTGCCTAAAAAGCTGGTTTTAATAATTTCGTACTAAGAAAATTAAAAAAGTGATTTCTTCTCTTAATTATAATAAAAATAAGGCTTATTATGTAGTATGGCTAATCTGTTTCAATAGCCCGTACATTGTTGGCCAGCATAAAGCCCAGTCGCATCATCACAAAGGTTGCACAAAACCACATACATTAATTATTAAATTGCTCTGAATTAAAATTATTTCAACTTGAATTCGTAGAAAACAATGTAAAGAAGTTAATTAAATACTGTCAGACACTTGGTGAGTTATGTTTAGTTAAAAAAACTTAGCGATAACAAATCATACGTGGTATATATTGAATTACAAAACGTATAAAAACAAGATAACATGCCTGATAAAAAAAAATATTGATTGTAAAACCATTTGACATATTTTAATATCCTCCAAATAGTAGTACGTTAAATGGGGTTGAAATTATCTTAGGGACATGTAAACCACACTATAATCTCTAGAAAGTGACTATCAAAGCTCATCATAGCAAAAGGATGGTTGAAATGATATTGATTGATTCATAAAATACGAAACACTACTAGACATCAAGTTAGCTGATCCATCATACATAGCTCTACAAATCACAATGTAAAATTCAATGTCATTCTCAGGTTAGATTTTTTTTTAAATATAGTGTACAATAAAAATAAGGCACAAAATTCACAATGCTACTACATTCAAAGTTGAAGAGAGTAGTACAGTAACAAGTAAAAAAAAAATCAAAGAATTAAATTACACTTCGGTGGAATAGAGTGCACACCATTGTAAACAGGGCAGTAACCACATTATGAAGGCACTAAGTAGTTCAATCACCTGGCAATGTCAACGTTTACTTTTGAAATTAATAAATGTCCATGCATTTTAAGTTGAGTTGTGGGGATTAGTATATAAAGCTAATCTAAATAAACGGAACATATAATGTAGCAATGACATTGATACTATATAAAGCTAACAAACAGGATGGAATTTTCTGAAGTGTAGAAATGTTGATGATGATTCTTTTAATTATAAAAGAGTTCCAAATTGTTATAAATATGTTTTCTGATTGAATATACGGAGAAATTAAATGCCATAAATAAATGAATATTTTACATTCAAATGTTGAGGATAGCAACTGTAAAAATGTGAATACAAAATGCACCAGTAACAAAAATTTATCTTGAAAAGTTTTATCATCAACGCTAGAACTTAATTATTTTTACATTTTATGGACATCAGTTAGTGAGGGTAGGTTGGTATATTTTCTACATATAAACAACACAATTTCTATCTATAGGATACACCATATGTTATATTTTAAACATTAAGTCGTAAATGAAAATACATATTTATGGCTTGGTACTCGACGTCATGAAGTAGTAGATTTGAGCAATTCTACACATAAATTTTTAACAATCATGAACTCATTCAGAACACACTGAATGTAAAAAATAATGTTGTGTTGTTTTTTGACACCTTGTATGATCGATTTCAAACAAGATAAAATATTTCAAACTAACAAAATTACATTACAAGAAGTTAATTCATAAAATAAAATGGATGACATCGAGGCTGCCCGGATACGTGTTTGTTTCTCGCGTCTCTTTCAAATTGCGCAGAATTTCTCTTCAGGTAAACTTTTTCCATTGTCTTTTTACCTTTTAAAAAGATTGTCAAGAATAATGTATTGCAGAAAATTTAAAGTGTCAACGATATGTCTACAACATCAGTTAAAGAGACTTCAAGGTTATACACAATTACAGTAAATGTTTAGTTTTCACAACACATTTCTACAGTACCCATTAAACAATAAAAGAACAGTAACTCTACCTTAATATTGTAAAAAAAATTTTGTATGCTTCTGGTAAATTTCCGCACTTTAGTTTTGAAGAGAAAACATTCCTGTACCTGGATCTTTTCTTTCATGCAGAACCTGATGAATTGTAATAGTCGTTTATTGTCATAATGTCATATTCAAAACAAAACTATGTAATACTCTATATTGAGTGATATAACTCACTAATAACAATCTGTAGGTGAGTTTTTAAAAATAGCGAATTGTAGTATATAAGCTGTTTATTGCGGAGTCAGCCATCAGACTTTTTGCAAACTTGTATCTAACATATTGCAATATTTTCATGAGTCACACAAGGTAACTACAGATCGCGACAAACTGGCTAATTTTTTTAATGTAATGTGGTGAATACACGGGTAATAAGAGGGTTATGGAACGTTTTGAACGAATCCAATCTAGAATTGTTCTTGGTCGTCTTGATTAATTTTTGTATTCATTATTTGTATCTGGCAATGTCCAGTAGTTAATTTTCAAATTGAATCGTTCTTAAAATGTTCTTGAAGGTTAGTACTGAACTGTTAAAACGTATTTCAATGTTAACATTGAACAGTTAACTAAAAACTTACTCAAACAATGAACTGTTAAAAATTATTTCAATGTTAACATTGAACAGTTAACTAAAATCTTACTCAAACGCAGACAATGAACTGTTAAAAATTATTTCAATGTTAACATCGAACAGTTAACTAAAAACTTACTCAAACAATGAACTGTTAAAACTCATTTTAATGTTAACATTGAACAGTTAAGTAAAAACTTACTCATAGGTAGAAACTGAGCTGACGCTGCTAACTTCATTGAGTAGCGACATATTCTCATCGTCAAAGAGGCATTCCGTGCTGCAATAAAATGTAAGTAATCTTCACAATAGTTTTTCTTGAGATCAAACTGCAAAGCTTTTTTGTAACACTTTTTGCGACAACTAAATCTTATTGTGAGTTCTTCTTTCTTTAAAGTTAGACAATAACTGCAGGTACATTTCACTACTTTATTTACATGAATAAAATCCACAAATAATACAGTTCATTTCAGTAATCAAACATCCACCATTTGGTATAACACTTATAATTAAAGTACGTGAATAAACAATTTAAAATCACAGGAGTAATACTGGATGCATTTCAAGTTCTAACACTCAAAACACATAGCTTCTCCTTGCATTTATCTAGGCCATTCTAGGCGGTGCTTTCGAAAATCTCATTTACCTCGATTATATAGCCTTACAATCACTCCCTTTCAGTCAGTGAGTGATGTCCAAAAAACATAAAAAATACAGTGATTGATCGCATTCACTTCCGATGGCCAGGTATTCAACCATCACACACGTTTCATTCCGAATACAATTTACCAGTCTGTTACAACTTTCAGTGAATACATGGTCTGTCCATTGTATGTTACCTTACCTGTTAGCCTCTTCCGAAAAACTTGGGTTAATGACACCTGTATAACAGCTTGGCATATGACTGCGTTTTAAAAAGGCAAAGTACTTAAATGTCATCTTTACATTTGTAAATGTCATAGTGCGAATTCTAAAAGTAATAGCCACACTTAACAATTATATAGAATGCAAGTAATTCAAGGCTAATTTGCACCGCTTTCATCAATTCCATTTAAAATATTTGATTAGATTTTAAAATCCTTACATGGGATCATAGTAGGAACTCTCTGCCCAACAGTTAGCTTTTAAAATTCCTGTAATTAGTAATTAACATGTACAATTTATATAAAAATAAAACGTTTAAACTGTAACATATTTTACCTCAAAAAACTTTTAAAAGCGTAAAAAGTAATGAAGATAGCATAGATATTGTTCAGCTAATGTATTTACAATTTTGTTATATATACATTGCTTAGAGATAATAGTTTAAATCAAAATTGAGTTCCGAGAATAAGCTACAGACAAATAGATACACAAACATGTCAACTGATACATTTAAGAAACTATCAACGTTTTTTTTATATAAGCAACACTTGTCTGAAGATGGACATCATCGATGTAGTCTATTTATTCACAAGTTCTAGTACAGTTTGTAGAGAATGTATAAACTGTAAGAGACCAATATGAACATACCTTTAGTATGTTTGACTTTCTCCTCCAATGGCACTGCCGCTGTAGAAGTGTTGACATTAACAGTTTTGTCTATCTGTAGTGGTGGCTGGGAAACTATTGTCACGTCTTTGGATTGGTTGTCTGGGCCTTGATCTATTCAATACAATAATCTTAAGATGAGAGACACAACTTGGTAGAGATACAATAGACAGCTTATTGTTGTTTTCAAATTCGTATTGACTGAAATCGTGATTTAAGATATATTTCCAGCTAAAACTATTTCAAAACATGTTCCTAACATCTTAGACAAACTACAGTTGTATAAAAATATCTTTATCTCTATAGAGACAACAATTTTAACAAATCTACACATTACGTGTTATCTTCATGGCCTCGTTACATAGAGATGATATCGCATGTTCAATCTGTTGATTGAGTCCTGTATAGCCTAAATGGTGGTGAGGATTCTCCAGCCACTCTCTGCTTAAGTCTGATGCCTGTTGGGGAGATTGTATTACGTAATGGTTGGGGAGATTGTATTACGTAATGGTTGGGGAGATTGTATTACGTAATGGTTGGGGAGATTGTATTACGTAATTGTTGTTGGGGAGATGTGTGTGTTGTGTGATGGTTGTGTGATGTGTATTGTGTAATTGGATGTTTGGGAGATGTGTATTCTGTAAAATATGTCAGGGAGATTTTTATAGTTTGCGATCTGTTGTGGAGATGTTTAATTTATAATGGATGTTGACGACATGTTTGTTGTGTAAAGGACGTAGGTCGTAATGTGTATATTGTTGATAGATAAGTTGAGATGTATATTCAGAAGGAATTAAACGCTTTGAACATAGCACTTTAAATCATATATTAATAAAAAACAGGCAGATTGATAATTACTAAGCAGCATTATCCAAATATTCCAAGCTGTATTATTTACAGCTTTCAGTAGATTTTAAGCCATTTTTATTCTATTTTTATTTAACCCAGTAGATACTTTTATAGATAGATACTTTAATAAAATATATTTTGTATTAAACACAGATACTTTTATATAATATATTTTTTTATTTAACACAGATACTTTTATAAAATATATTTTTATTTAACACAGATACTTTTTAAAACTATATTTTCATTAAGTACAAATACTTTTCTTACGTTTATAAGAATCTGAAGCACGTACTGAAGATCGATAATTTTCTGATCCAGGTAATTCTTGTGATGCTGAACGATGTTTTCAAAATGCTTGGGTCGCATCTAAACCAGACGATGATGGATTTTTAAAATTTCAAACAATTAGTTTAATTACATAAATTAAAACTATTCATCAGCAATAAATTATATAGAATTGCAGTCACCGGGGCGTCACAAGGGTTTCAACCTATGAATTGCAAGTAGAGTCACAAGGCTGGATTGCCTCTAGTTGTGGTATATCACATGTAAGCTTTTTTGTATATTTGTCAGCGAAGGTTGTACGCGGGGGGGAGGGGGGGGGGATATGACACCCTGGTTTAACCCACCTAGTTTCACTTGGTCTAGATACACTACTGGTAGTTACACAAGTATTTGTCACCATTTTTCCTGTTCTTCCTGGCGAAGCATAGCTCCTCTGATGAAGGTTCCCACTATCCACGGTCTTCTGTCACTCTGTTCAGCTGTTTCCACTATAGTGCTAGCCTGCTGGCTCTCTTACACCAAGTGTATATGATACAACGAAGATGCGTAGATACAAATTTCTATACGAAGCTATTTATAGATATCACCCCCCCTCCCTAACTAAATATAGTCACTACATCCTTATCACAACTAACGTACTTCCTTATCTACACCATCTACACCATGTACACCACCCACGCCCTAAAACCAAGCTACACAAAGTAAAACCCGATTTTTTTTTTTTACTAAATTGTCAACATCCTTCTACGTTCGACATTTTCCCAGCGAATAGTTGTATTAAAACAGGCACAACAAAATATTACATTCTTCTCTTCTGTGAATGTAAACACAGTATCATTAGCAGGCACTATAAGGTCAAGGTTATACCAGCAGTTGGAACCTGCCATGTTTGTTCCTGCTTAATTTGTAAAAGTTACAAACATGATAACATGTCGTTTAATTATCTATCAGAAATATGTTCAGTCAAGAATAATGACGTCAAACCTAACTGCCTAATACGAGTTCACATCTGAGATTAAACGAGACTTGTTTTTGATAAACGTACTCTGAATGTAGGTCTCATAGCATAACGCACCATGTGAATAAACAGCTATGTGTAGTTCAACTAGAATAGGCCATCTTGTGTTTAGCAAACACATCACATGAGCATATGCAGGCATGTGCTTTATTTTATTGCTCGTTTTTTTTTTCGCTGATTACGAAAATAAATGTGTATTTTAAATTTGTATTTTACTAATAATTAAAAGCATCCTACCTTTAGAGCACGTAGATAAGTACAAAAACTAAACCTGTTTTCTGTCAAATCTATTATCGCTAGGAGAGTGAGTAAAGTAGTTTCAACGTATCGCTCGCACTGAACGTATTTCCTCGGGAATAGAATTTCCATACGGGTTTTCCCGTTATTACATAATATACTAAGTGGGATTTTTACAAGGTTAGCCTACACATCCTGTAAAACTGTCAAATAGCTGTGATTTTAAAACAGCTATTAAATAATGACGTTATTTAAACGTTATTTTTTCGCAAAAATAAAATCGGTTAATTATGTGTTAAGTAAGTCTTTGAATATTTTAGACGAACAAAAATGTTAAATGACAATAAAGTTGTGAAACCAAAACTGCATTGCACAGTAGTCGTAGCAGATTAGTGTACAACCAGTGTTTCTTCCAGACTTTTTTCTCCGGGGGGGGGGGCACTTGAAATCTTCGGGGGGGCGGTAAAATTTCTTCGGGGGGGGGGGGGGGGCGGACACTGTTAAAAGTATATATTTTCTATATAAATTATATAAATTTCATTTCGTTCGGGGGGGGGGGGGGGGCGGTAAAAATTTTTCGGGGGGGGTTCAAAGCCCCCCCCCCCCCGAAGAGATGCCTGGAAGAAACTCTGTGTACAACGCATACAGCATTTTATACAACAGCTAAGTCACAGAACTAGCACGTTTCATACCATGGAACATTTTAAACCACTTTCTTTCTCTACATTCGTATTCGCTTGAACTAGGCTCCGACTAATCATCTGTTCTATTGAGATTGTTAGGCCTAGACTTTATTTTTAACCGTCAGCAAAGATGTTTTCTAAAGTAGGACCGTGCTATCACTTTCTAACAGCCACGGTAGAGTAAATGCCACTTTGGGTTAGTGTAAAACACTCAAAAGTTAATATAAAGCTGTTATATTTAAATATTCACAACTGAAACAAAAGGTCAAGCTATCGTGATCACAGATTTGCAAGGTTGCAAAAAATCGCGGCGTTTAAAGGGAAATTATCCAGAATCAAAGCCACTGTTTTTTTTTCTTGTTACTGCCCTTTACTATATTTCTAAAATAATAAACATCTTAATCTTAGTGTGAATTTAAAACTGAGTTTGTACTACCATATAATCAAATTTAAATTAAAAACTATAATATACCGCTGGTGGTAGTGTGTCAGTCAGTCATTCCGTCATCGCTATAGATTTTGGAAATCTCTCCATGTGCGCGGACGGCCGGGAAAACAAGTTTTTTTGGCGGCGGTTTAAATGACGCCTTGGGTTTGGGGAGATGTCTGGGCGGACGTTTGTGAGAGTATCGGCTCTCAATATTTTTTTTTTAACAGTAATTTAAATTTTGTGAATATCCATATTCGCACCAAAGTGCTACCGCCACCCGCGCGCAGCTACGAAGAAATACTCGCCACAATACGGGGATCCCCACCCGCGCGCTAACTCTGAGGTAATATCCATATCCCCACCGTAGCGAAGCGCGGGTATAAGCGTTTGTGTTTAGTTTTGTTTTGTTCCCAAGTTAGTACATTACACAAAGATTCACCGTGGCGGAGCACGGGTATGCTATAAACTCTGACGTAATATCCATATCCACACCAAGTTAGTACATTACAAAAAGATTCACTGTGGCGGAGCACGGGTATGCAGCTAGTACTCATGTAATCAACTGCAAGTCGCGAGCAATAAATATTCTCTCGTGTTGTTTCTATAGAAAAACCAAACAACGTTTGAATTTTCTCTATTACAGCCAGATTGTGGATTGTATCCAGCTTGTACACTTGGATCCAGATTGTGGATTGTATCCAGCCGAATCTAGGAGATCTAGATCTAGATTCTAGAATCTAGAGTGAAGTTCAGAGTGTGGATTGTATCCAACTTGTACATTTGGGTCCAGAGTGTGGATTGTATCCTGCTTGTATACTTATGTCCAGAGTGTGGATTGTATCCAACTTGTACATTTGGGTCCAGAGTGTGGATTGTATCCATTTTGTACACTTGGGTCCAGAGTGTGGTTTAGCATTTTACTCCGGGCGTGCACCAAGCTCATGACTATCTCAGCGACCTATAATGTCACATGTGAGAAGCCTCTTAAAGCAGGCAAAGTTAATACCTACAACATACTATAGACAATACTAGCACAGCGCCTTTCTGTGGCTGTTAGTCCTCAGATACACTTCTACAATAGTGTATAAAAGATATTTATAGTGATTTACTAAATATTTAGTAAATATGTAAAATGATTTTAATCTATAAACTTAGATCAAAACCATAATGCTTTAACAGCTTATAAATGTGTTACTAAAAAAAAACACCCATATATAATTATACAGACCCAAAATTTTACAATTCTCTAAAATATTTCTTAATCAATTTCTTACAGGAGTCTCTTGGGGTTAAAGAGGGGGTGAGGGGAAGGGGGAGGGAGGGGGTGGGGTGGGAGGGGAGGGGGTCTACAGTATCGAAAGTTTTCAAAAAACATCGATCACGCAACCTACCGGTGACACAGGGGAGATAATACTATTAATTAATTAAATCAATAATTTTTTTTTTTAAAAATCATCTTAAATTAAAAAATAATGCAGGCTTATAAGTACCCCCGGTGCGGCACTTAATGGTGTCAGCGACCTTTCCCGGGGGCAAAGTTTCAATTTTCAAGTTGCACCCCACCCCCTTCCCCTCCTCAAACGTTCGATCCCCTCCCCCCCCCCCCCCCCCCCCCCCCCGCCCCTCAAAATTTCGATTTGCCTTGACCAACAAGGCTATAATCGGAAAAGTATTACTGTAATTTAAAAAAAAAAAAGAAGAGTCTATTATCAGACTCCCCAAAACCCACACCAAGATTAGTGTTCAGCATTCCAGTGTTCCAAGGTGTGCACCTTAGCGCTAGCCTGGCCCCGCAGACACGACGTTAGAAACCCCGCCCGACCCTCGCAGGGACTTCCCTGAGAAGGGGCGGGACAAGGCGACTGAAAATCGTCTCGTAAGGTACCAAGCGTCCCCCTATTGCGCACACCCCGGTTTTTTTTAACACTAAAGCATTCTGCACATAGCCTTGGTAAGGTGTGCCTGAAAATCCAAATGATGGCGTTAATGTAATACTGCCATGCTCGGGCCTAAAAGGCGACAAGTTAATTGGCGTTTTTAAATTCCCGTTCTGTTTTTAAAAATTATATTATTACGAGCCGACCCGCGGTGTATCATACGCCGCTATTTAGTTGTTTTTTTTTCTACTTTTCAGTAATTGAAAGTATTTGCTTTAAAACACTAAACCCCCATTCCCCCCCCCCCCCCCCCCCGTGAAAGCAGCCTCCTCTTAGTTACCTCCTCTAAGTTTAAAAAAGTTTCAAACTGAATTATCGGCCCCTATTAGCCGTCACCAAACTAAACATTTAGCATGAACTACAACTCACCTGACCATGTGAGGGGAGGGGGGTTGGGGGTGGGGGGTGGTAGCAATAGAGAGGAAGAGATGGGGACTGCAAGGCGCGCGCTTGCAGCTTGTTTTCTAACGGCTCCTAAAAGAGAATTATATATATAGATATTATATCTATTTTAAAAAGATTCACCGTAGCGAAGCTCGGGTATGCAGCTAGTCTATAATATACGCCGCAAGTGTCGTTCCGCACATTCTAGCACTTCCGTCAACGGTATATCAACTTTGTCTTCTTCAAAGCTGGAGAATGAATAAGGTGGTAGTCTATGGAAAGTCGCTCCCTGGGCGCGGACGCCCGGGAAAACATGTAGTTTGGTGGCGGTTTAAATTACGCTGTGGGTTCGGGGAGGCGAGGTATCTGGGCTGATGTTCGTAAATATCCCTATTCACCCCGAAGGTGCTACCGCCACCCGCGAGTAGGGAGGTGCTCTGGGGTAGTATCCATATCGGGACGTATCCCCAGGGTAACGAAGCGCGGGTGTAAGATAGTTTTATGTATGCTACTTCTTCCACACATCTTTACAAATAGCCAGACCTCCGCTAAACTGACGTCACTCCTCAGCCTAAAACTCCCCTTCAACATTGAAGTTGAATTTTTCTTAAAATACAATATTTTTCCAAAATCTTGTCTGAACTCTGTCAACAAAGAATATTTTAATCAATTCCTATAACAAGTTATTAAAACAGTTTTCTAAAACGTGAAATAGCGGCTAAATAACGTTTTCTGACATTGCTGTTTTATAATGGAAAAGTGTGACGTCACACCATCTGGTCTCTCCCTCCCCCTCTCCCTATCACACACCGTCACAAAATTACCGATTCCCCTCCCCTATGAGTTAGTCGTCATTTATGGACGACCCAATAGCACATGCAATTAGAATTAATTACCCAATTATATATCTTTTCCAAGAGGACGAACAACAACATACTGTCAATACAACTTGCAAGCTTAATGATATATTTTCTAAGGTAACATTGTTTTTTTTTAATTAAAGAGTATTATGAAAACAAAAGGGTAGTGTTATTAAATGTCAGAAAATCTAAAACATCACGATGTTTTCCAACTTTATTTGTTCCTTGCTCCATTGTTAGTGGTTTGTAAGTAGTGTGGATCCCTCTATAACTTATTTAAATCTATTTCTGAATCAGCATATATGTAAATTCGATATGTATGTCTTTTTTACAAAAAAAAATGAATGTTTAATGTCATCCTTTATTTTTGTAACAACACTTGCAGCATTCGTTAGATAGAACGGCTGTGAATTCCGCTCTCAACTTAACGAACTCTCCACTATATTCTCATTTCAAACAACCTAACTACCCCGACTACAACCCTCTCACCTAACTGCCAAACAACTTATATTTTTAATTAACTACCTGTCACAACCAACATAACTAAAGCAACATCATTATCACAACACATACAATACCATCAAGCATACAAAAATTCACAACACAGTTTTAGAAAAAAAATTTTTTTATAATATAATGTGTGATGCATATTGTATGTGTGTAGACAATAACAAGCTAATTTATGTTCAATTAAGAAAGTTTAAAAAATACATGATATTTAATTATGAATGAATAACCTTATTCAACTTAACCATCGATTAGTTATAATATTCACATTCGTATGAAT